GTCTGGACGCAGAGGCTAGAGGAAAAATCCTCTGCCCCCGTCGGGGATCGAACCCCGGTCGTCTAGCCCGTAGCCAGTCACTATACTGACTGAGCTATCCCGGCTCATAATGTTTATTGGGTAAGGAGGTTTATTACCTAGCAAACTAGAGACTGCAAGAAAGTAACTATCAGCTGTGAAGGGAAGTGGGATCGAACATTTAAACATTTCAGCAAACGGAATATTCCTATTCCCAACCTTGTGAACACTACTGAGTTTGTCTTCCCTTTACCTGAATCAACACTTTCAGAACGTGTGTTCTCATTTATGAACAATGTCTGGTCATGTGACAGAAATCAAACAGTTGGATGGGAGCACAGTTTGAGGCTTACTCTACAGCAGACAGAACTTTATTTTCATTGGAAAAGAGTTTTACTACAAAATTGAAGTCAACACAATCTAGGAGAAACATGCATTGGTGGTAGAAGGAGAGAGAAACAAGCGTGCATCAAAAATTGTGACTGATCATAACATATCAGGACAAGAAAGAGAACCACCTGAAGATGACCAATTAGGGTCGAAACATGTAATGGATTCTTAACAAACACTGAAACAAAAATAAAAAAAAAACTGTTGTGTAGATGGACAGTCAACCTTATGATAAACACACAAGATTCATCCCTTAAAAATTCAACAGCGTTTTGAATCTTTAATATCCAGTGTTGAATATAAGCCTACACCGCAAGCAACCTATGCATGCCCAGAAAATTCATTGAATGAATATTTGTAATGTTTATTAATAATTAATTTTGTTATATTTATCACAGCTAGGGCCTTGTGAATGCAAAGTACAGTCCAGTGCTGAATATTGAGATGTAACCAGTACATCTTTCAAAGAAGAATTCTATAAATTAATACAAACATCTGATATATATTTTTATGAGCATTCCCTAACAAAGAGGTGCTCACAACTTTCCTCACACTTTAAATGTCATACAAAGTCTTCTGTCCCGCTGTTAGTAAGCAGATTACTTTGTTAGTAAGGCTTCACACTGACCTTCCTTTAGACTTAACAAAACAAAGCTAAATTCTATACATAATTTGATGAAAGAAAATATCAGTACTCAGGAAAAAAATCAATCTCTGCTCAATTTCTAATACTTTTTTTTTATTAAAATCCCACCCAAAATAAGTATGATAATGTTTTAAATAAAGTTAAATAAAATAAACATTCTGCATTTGATTTTGAACCAGAAAGAAGGAATCATTGGCCATCCTCACAGTTTTCTGTCCCTGCAATGTATAAGAAAAAGAAGAATATAACAAATAGGAATGTTTCATGTGATGTAAATGCACATGAACTGGTCATACATTTCATCTGGGTCACTCATTTTAATATAACCCATATTTTATCAAGGTATATTCCCAAAAATGTATTTTGACATTCATGTAATTGTGGTGCTCTGTTTGGGCCAAAATTACATTATAGTGACAAACTTTAATGTTAGATGTCCCCATTCACTATCATTGCATGCACCAAAGCTTAATAAGAAAATAGGGAATTCAAATATTATAATGTTAACCAAACTGTATCCATCAACACACAGCAAATACATTCTCACATCATAATGTATCATGGTAGTTTTCATATTAATATCAAACCTTCATTTTATAGTTTTCATTGAAACCAACTGAGGATGTGAAAGATTTAAAACATTAATAGTCCTAATATTGATTTTATTAATGAAAGACTCTCAGGCAACAAGCCACATCAGGTGGCTGAATGGTGAATGGACCATTTCTTCCGCCAACATTTCCAGAGCCATCTATAACTTACACCCATGAAAAAAAAATGCTTCTTGGTTACTGAACCAAATTTACTCATTGCTGTATTGTGTTTGGGGGTGGGGGGAGAGACAGCTTGTGCAAGTTGAATGGCACTTAACCTCTTTGTTGAGAGAGTTATTGACAGTGGCAACAACCATCAGATCATGTTGTAGTTGTTCCAGTATGGCTGCGGATATACAGCAGCACAATACACAGGTAACCCTCGATTTACGGCGAGGATGCGTTCCTGGACGAACCGGCGTAAATTGAAACTCTTTTATAATGTAAATCAATGGGAAGTCAGTGATATGCGTTCCCAGCACCCAAACATTGACGAGTAATATAATGGCATTACATTTAAAGCTCTGAAATAACGTAAATAAAATAAAGGGAATTTAAAAAATACACTTTATACACTTACAATCGGCAATTCGTTGGTCCCCGCGATTGAGTGTCTTTCTTTCATGTGATTGATGTGTACAGTCATCTCTGCTGTTATGCGATAGTTGCATTCATGTAAGTAGCCGACCTATAGAAAATCGCGTAGTAAAAATAACCCCGGTACCTCCGCAGAGATTAAATTAGTCCTTGAAAGTTTAAAGCACC